AGAGAAAGAGAAAGAAAGAGAAAGAGAGAGAGGGAGGGAAAGAGGGAGAGAGGGAGGGAGGGAAGGAGGGAGAAAGAAAGAGAGAGAGAAAGAAAGAAAGGAAAACAACAACTCATCAATTAGAAATGAACACTAAAGGCTCAATGGGCAAAAGATACTACTATATATAGGCTGGTAAAATGCTGGTAAATGGGGGGCGGGTTAGGGGGTAGTTGTGGAGGTGGAAGGGAAGGGATGGTAGGGGAAAAACAAAGGAGGCAACAATGCTCGATAGGAAATGCACTCATGACCTTGCTCATGGAGCTGTAACCCCTCTGTACAGTATTCTTACAATAAAAAACATACAGGAAGTGGCGCTGTAGCTCAAGTGGTAGAGCGCTCGCCTTGAGTTGAAGAGCTGAGGGACAACGCCCAGGCCCAGAGTTCAAGTCTCACTACCGACAAAAAAAAAACAACAACACAAAAAACATACAAAAAAATGCTGGTAAATGTGGGTATGTCATACCTCTGTATTTGTTGTAAATTTTCTATGAAGAAAGGCTTTTAAAGCTACATTATTTTAAAGATAGGCACTCTAATATCTATAGGCTGAAAAGATGACTATAAATAGAGTTAAATGCCTAAAGTAAGATTTAAAACAATGACGTAAGAAATAAAGGGATGCTTGCCTTGAGTATTTGGTCTGGGAAGACCAACAGACGTGCAAATCCTTACCATTAATACATGCAACCAAGATCCAGAGCAGCAAAACACATACAAGTCAGCTCTAAAATGAGTAATTTTAGATAATGTGAAGATTCTGCACAAGAATCAGGGTGTCTGGGCTGGGAATGAAGCTTAGTGGTAGAATGCTTGCCTCATGTGCATGAAGCCCTGGGTTTGATTCCTCAGTACCACATACACAGAAAAAGCTAGAAGTGGTGCTGTGGCTCAAGTGGTAGAGCGTTAGACTTGAGCACAGAGAGGCTCAGGGGCATCACCCAGGCCCTGAGTTCAGTCCCCAGGACTGGCAAAAAAAAAAAAGAATAAAAAATAATCAAGGTGTCTTAGTAGTTGGCAACATTCAGTAAGGTATCATTTATCTCAATAAAGCCATAAAGAAGATTCAATTCATTGATGGGCAAATGCATTAAGACTCGTCCTTTTAAGAAACCACGAACTGAGCGCAGTAGCCCATGCTTCTAAATTCTAGTACTTGGGGGGGCAAAAAAAAGAAGATGTAGTTCAAGACCAACCAGGGTAATAAAAAAAAAAGCAAAGAACAAGTAGTGAATGCCTATAACCCCAACTATGTGGGAGGTGTAGCAGATGGAAATCCAATACCAGCCTCAAAAAAAGCACATGACCCTATCTGAAAACTAACTAAAGAAACAACAACAAAAAAAAAACAGGAATAAGAGAATAAGTAGTGATCTGGGATACTTAACAAAAATTAACTGAAGAAACAATAAAAACGAATCATGGTAATAAGGGAATAAAGGAACAGGATACCAGAATTGGATTCTAGGTTCAGCCTTTTCCTAGAGGTGTGAGTTTTAGATATTCTCAACAGGTTTAAAAATATTGACTCAATTCAAATTCTTCAAAAACTGGTACTTTGCCAGGCATTTGGTGGCTCATGCTTGTAATCCTAGCTACTCAGGAGACTGAGATCTGAGGATCAAAGTTCAATGCCAGCCAAAGTAGGAAAGTCCATGAGACTCTTACCTCCAATAACCACCAGAAACCCAGAGGTGAAGCTGTGGCTCAAAGTGGTAGCCTTGAACAAAAGAGTTTAGTCAGGGATAGCACACAGGTCTTGAGTTTAAGCCCCATAACCACCACTACCAACAACAATAACAACAACAAAAAAAAAACTGGTACTTCATCTAAAGCATGTGTTAGCTCTCAGTGAAGTAAAACACGAAATTCATGGCGATACCCATTCTGGATTAAGGAGTTAATTAAAGTGGTCCTTTTTCTAGGGCCACATCTCCAAGACGCTTCCCCATCAAGTGAGGAGGCCAGCAGATAGAAGGAATGACTGACAGTTCCCATAAAGCACCTGCAGCAGACATCACCAGGTACATCCACCTGGGGACCGATTTGACATGTACCATTCCTGTCCTTACCTTGGGTATTCTGGAAATAATGTCGCCACAGAGGCCTGATCTTGTCCTGGCCACCAACATCCCAGACTGTGAAGCTGATATTTTTATATTCTACGGTCTCCACATTGAAACCTAAATTGAAAAAAGGGAGAAAAATTGTCTTCACGGGTTGAACAATTTAAAATAACTTCAACTACCATTTCTAAAACGCTTTGATAAAGCAGAGCTCTAGTCAAAGATCTCTAGCTTACAAAGACAACATGCTGGCTTACTCTGCCCTTTATTGTGCCTAGTTTCTCAAACCATTTCTCCTCTCCAATCCCCACAGCAAAGAGGAGACATCCATGGAACTGACTGCTGCTTCTCACTGCACAACAAAACAATCTACCTATATCTTCACACATACTCCTTTCTAGCTCCATCTTGGAGCAAGGAAGGGGAGCAGCTATTGAATGCCAATTCCCTACCCAGACTGTCTGGAACTCTTTTCATTGCTGACTTCTCACCCATCCAAACAGCATGTTCTTAGCATGCCTAGGCTTTTTTTATCTTACAAACAAACAGGGGCTGGGAAAGTGGCTCACTGGTAGCGTGCTTGCCTTGCACGCATGAGGCCCTGGGTTCCATTCCTCAGCACCACATAAGCAGAAAAAGCCAAGTGATGTTGTATGGCTCAAATGGTAGGGCGCTAGCCTTGAGCTGAGGCACTCACAGACAGCACCCAGGCCCAGAGTTCAGGCCCCATGACTGACAAAAAAAAACAAAACACCCAAAACAACAACAACAAAAAAATCCTCCTTCCTTGATCTGCATCTTCACCTACTACCACCCTCTTCTGCTCTACAAAGTCAGCTATATTCACCAACCCCATACATAGCACCACTTTAGCTCTGATCTACCAGGGAAGGCAGCTGGTTTCTCTGGGGTCAGCCAACCATCACTATGTCAGGGAAGCCCCCAATGCTTTTCAGCTCTTTCCTCATGTGACAACACTCTGACACTATTGCCCTCGTCTTCCTTGAAACCTCCCCACTTCCCATGTTCTTCCTACCTCTATGGCTGCATTTTCTCAATCTCTGTAAGCTCCACCATATTCAAATGACCCTCAGGACGGATCCTCAGGATCTCCATTCTCTAACCATTCTCCTTTATGGCCCCTGCCTAAGCAACCCCACTTATCCCCAGGCATCATTGCCATTTCTGATCAAACAATTCTCAGACATATATATATATCGTTCAACCAGGCCCTCCTAAGCTGGCAGTTCCCCAAATACAGTGATCTGTCAAAAAAAATGCATCTTAAGATCCTCACTCTTGGGGCTGGGAAGGTGGATCAGTGGTAGAGTGCTTGCCTCCCATGCATGAGGCCCTGGGTTTGGTTCCTGAGCACCACACAAGCAGAAAAAGCCGGAAGTAGTGCTGTGGCTCAAGTGGTAGAGCACTAGCCTTGAGCTGCAGAGCTGGGGGACAGTGCCCAGGCCCAGAGTTCAGGCCTCATGACCGATAAAAAAAAAAAAATCCTCACTCTTTGCAGGTGCTGGTGGCTCATGCCAAATAATCCTATCTACTCAGGAAGCTGAGATCTGAGTATCACAATTTGAAGCCAGCCTGGGCAGAAAAGTCCATGAGACTCTTATCTCCAATAAGCTGCACCAAAAGTAGCACTGTGGCTCAAACTGATAGAGCGCTAGCCTTGAGCAAAAAGAGCTCAGGGACAGTGCCCAGGTCATGAATCCAAGCCTCACAACTGACACACATACAAAAAAAATCCTCACTCTTCAACCTGCTCCTCTGCTATTCATTCCTTTACTGATTACACTCTACAAGATGGAAACCTGGATGTATTCTATGCTTCCAACTCTTACCCCAAAGCCCCTCTACCAAGCCTCATCAGTTCAGCCTCCTAAATATCTAATATTCTCTTATGCAGAAGACCATCTCTAGCCCTTAAGTAACTAATCCCTCTGAAGCTACTCTTCCTCTGCTAGCTAGACAACTTGCTAAATGGGAAACACAAAGTGTGGCTGAGCGTAGTGGCTCATACCTGAAGTCCCAACTTCTTGGGAATTGGACAGAGAGTAGGAGAATTTCAGTTTGAGGCAGTCTGGGTCAAAAGTTAACAAGGTCCTATCTTTACAGACAAGCCAAGTATGAGATCACATGCATGCATGTGATCTCACCTACACAGGAGGTATAGATAGGAGGATCACAGTCAAATGCTGGCCCCAGGCAAAATCACAAGACCCTGCTGGAAAAATAAATATAAAAGGGCCAAGAGTATTGTTCAAGTGGTAGAATATCAGCCTAGCAAGCACAAGGCTCCAAGTTTAATCCTTAGTACCACAGACATACAAAAATATATTTTTTGGGGGGGGAGGGGGTCCGGTTGTGGGGCCTGAACTCTGGGCCTGGGCACTGTCCCTCAGCTCTTCAGCTCAAGGCTAGCGCTCTACCACTTGAGCCATACCGCTACTTCTGGCTTTTTTTTTTTTTTGCTTATGTGGTGCTGGGGAATCGAACCCAGGGCCTCAGGCAGGCAAGGCAAGTGCTCTACCACTGAGCCACCTTCCCAGCCCACAAAAATATATTATATGTGACCATAATATGCATCACTTCTCTGAATATTTGTATTTGATTAAAATATTTTAAATTTTTAAAAGTTTATAAATGGACATATTAAATTGTAACCGTCCTCAGGCAACCATTTGAAGTACAATTAAAATAATAATAAATACCAAAAAAAGAGTTGAGCATGGTGGCTTACACCTGTAACCTCAGCTCCTGGGAGGGTGAAGGCAGAAGGCTGGTCTGGGCTACTAAGTAAGACCACTTAAAAAAAGAAAAAGAAAAAGAGGTTGGGAGGCAAAGAGTTAGGGAAATCTTTGCTTGGTTTTTCTAAGTCTTGAATATGATTGCTAAGACCCACAGTTACCATTCAAAAATCTCAATTCTAGTTATGCCTTGTTTTGGTAAGAGACACTCACTGCACTGAAAAAAGCTAAACTGTTGCTAAATAAGTATACAAATTCAGTGTCATTCCAAGTCCACAGCAATGGGGGCAAAAGAGAATTTAGCAAAAACTTCAAACTTTCATCTGGAGAAATAAACAAGTCAGCCTAACCAGGAAATTTCTGAAAATGAGTAATGAATTACTTCTAAGCTATGACCAAGCCCTAGTGACACTTGAATAGAGTTCTGATGATGACTACAACAGGAAGAGGTTTACACAGCAGTGAGAACATAGTACAATTTCAAATCAGCACAGAAAGTCATCCAATCAATGGCACCAAGTCACTGGCTACCCCTGAAACAGTAAGTAAGGCCAATGGACATCTGAATATATCCACTCAATAAAGAAAATTCTAGGGGGGGGGCGGGGGGAAGGCTGGGAAGGGATGGGAAGGGTAAACAAAGGAGGAGGCTGCAATGCTTGATAAGAAATGTACTCATTATCTTGCCCATGTAATTGTAACCCCTCTATACAGTATGTTCACAAAAAATTTAAAAAAAGAAAATTCTAATTCAAATCAGTGGGTTTTTTCCCATCAGATGGTTAAATTTACAGAGGAAATGGGTACTTTTTTTTTTTTTTGGGTCCGGACGTGGGCCTGAACTCTGGGCCTGGGCGCTGTCCCTCAGCTCTTCAGCTCAAGGCTAGCGCTCTATCACTTGAGCCACAGTGCCACTTCTGGCTTTTTTCTTTTTGCTAATGTGGTGCTTAGGAATCGAACCCAGGGCCTCATGCATACAAGGCAAGCACTCTACCACTGAGCCACTTTCCCAGCCCCAGAAATGGATACTTTTTAGCAGTAGAGGAACAACCTTTTGGAGAACAGTCTGGCAACTTGGATACACATCTGAGATACACATTTGTTGGTTTGGTTTTGTTGTTGTTGTTGCTGCTCATACTGGGGCCTAAACTCAGGATTTCATCACTGTCAGTTTTTTTGGCTCAAGGTTAACACTCTATCACTTGAGCCACACAAACACTTCTAGCTTTTAGGTAGTTAACTGGAGATAAAAGTCTCACAAACTTTCCTGCTCAGGCCAGCTTCAAACCAAGATCCTCAGTAGTTAAGATTACAGGCATGAGCTACCAGTGCCCAGAAGTATGCATTTGTTTTAACATAGCAAGCCTTTTCCAGGAATTAGTGTAAGAAAATATAGTATAGGGGCTGGGAAGGTGGCTCAGTGGTAGAGTGCTTGCCTTGCATGCATGAGGCCCTGGGTTCAATTCCTCAGTACCACATAAGCAGAAAAAGCCAGAAGTGGTGCTTTGGCTCAAGTGGTAGGGCACTAGTCTTGTGCTGAAGAGCTAAGGGACAGCGCCCAGGCCCAGAGTTCAGGCCCATGACTGACATTAAAAAAAAAAAGTATATGTTTGCAAAAATTGTGAAAGATGTATGAGCATTATTTAAAAACATATAACTATCCATTCATGAAAATTACTTTTAATCATATATAGCTGGGCAGTGGTGGCTCATGTCTGTAATCCTAGCTACTCAGGAGGCTGAGATCTAAGGATCACAGCTTGAAACAGCGAGAGTGGAAAAGTCCATGATACTCTTATCTTCAACTAATCACCAAAAAAGCTGGAAAGTGGAACTGTGGTTCAAGTGTTAGAGCACCAGCATTGCATGGAAAAGCTCAGAGATAGCACCTAGGTCCTGAGTTCAAGCCCCAGGACCAGTGCTTGTGTACATGTGAGTGTGTGCGTGCATGCGCGCACACACATGCACGCACACACACATATCCATATAATGGATAGTACCGTTATCAAAATTGGATGTTAGCTAGGCACTGGTGGCTTGGATCATGGGTCGAAGCCAGCCCAGCAGGAAAGTCTGTGAGACTCTCATCTCCAATTAACTACCAGAAATCTAGAAATGGAGCCCAAAGAAGAGCACTAGCCTGGAGCAAAAAAGAGCTCAGAGACAGTGCCCAGGCCCTGAGTTCCTGCCCCAAGAGTAACCAATAAAGAAAAAAGTTGATGTTGATCTGTATGAGCCCCTTTCCAAACCCATCATGGCTTTATCTAGGCCAGCCCATTCACTGTTTCTCAGGGACACTACTCCTGTGGGCTGCCTTGTGATCAGGCAGAAGTAGGTGGGGTCTCTCTCTCTAGCTGGTCTGTTTCCTTAAGGAGCACTGATGTCAATGGCTGGAAGCACCACAGCATAAGCACTTGCTAAATCTCTGCTGAGTCCTAGTTGCTGATGTCTTTCCACAGAACTGGGAATGCTCAAGGGCATGGACAGTGACAGGCATGACTCAAGCTTCCCCAGTATGATGATTCAGTTCACCTTGCATGGGCCAGTCATTTTACTAGACAGATGAGAAAACCCTGATTCCTGTTCTTATTTACCTTGTTGGGAAAAAGAAAGAGTGAACAAGAAACTACAAACATGCTGGGAGTTACTAAGAACACCAGATTGCTGAGGAAACTTAAATGGGGGGAAACTGGCTCAAGGAAAGGCATACCCGAGAAATAATGTTTAAACTGAGACTAAAAGAACATGCTAGCTGGGCTGGAAAGTGGCTCAGTAGTAGAATGCTTGCCTTGCATGCATGAGGCCCTGGGTTCAATTCCTTAGCACCACATAAACAGAAAAAGCCAGAAGTGGTGTGTGGCTCAAGTGGTACAGTGTTAGACTTGAGCTGAAGAGCTGAGAGACAGCACCCAGGCACAGAGTTCATGACTACAACGACAAAAAAAAAAAAAAAAGAACATGCTAGCATTCACTAGGCAAAGACAAAGGGGCAAAGGAAGAAGGCATGAAAACATTTCACAGCAGAAATGACCTAGAAAGTGGACTGAGCCTATTATCTAACATGAAGCCGGAAAAGAGCCCACAAATGATTTTACAAACATATCTACCAATATCTTAAAAGTAGAATGTTTCTTAAATCTGTTTTTCTATGCATGCATGAAGCTAAAGGCAGCACATATTATTTATGCCATTAGAAAGAGCCAAGCAATCATGCTGTTTTTTTTATGTTGGAAGAATACAGTTCTTAAATTATGTATGTAACGATTTTCATCTGCTCTTTGTCTTCCTCCAATGTTGGCACCTCTGAAGTTGTGCTAAGGTGAAAGGTAGTCCTTTGGGTTCTGTGTGTACCTATTCAACACTCAGGGCTAATGTTCGCATGCCATCCTGTGGAATGCACCAGCAGTTTGGGTTTCCAGGGAGTTCACAAAGCATGGCTTAAGTTCTGTCAAAACTGCTTCTGCAAAGCCCTTCAGGAGCCTACAAAACACAGCGCTGTTCCCAATAAGACAAATACTGCCAGTTTGTCAAGTTTCTTCTTTGGACACCATCACATGTAGCTGGCTGAAGCCAGAGTGAAGAGAACTCACTCCATCTTTAAACATGAGAGCACACTCCACCAAGAGAGCTACCCAAGGGAAGGCCAGCTGGAATGGAGGCTGACAGAGAGGCAGTGCCAGCTCCCACCTCAGGCTGGGACATAGGCTGACACAGGCAGGGAGGGCAAAGCCCTCCCCACTGTTTTAATTGTTACTTTTTCTTCTTTGCCAAACAAACAGGACTAAATTTGCTAGCCTAGCCTGTGTTTATATAACTCAATGTAAACCTAAGAATATGCCACATGCAGAGAGAGCAATTAAGAAAATACATAGAACCTGACTAGGATCCCCAAATGTTTCTGCTCTTGGTACCAAGATTTTTGAAAAGCAATGCCCAGTGGTATGAGAAGCACAGAAAATTGTAGCATACTACACTGCAAAGTGACAGTATTCAGGGCTGTTCACATACCTATGGTAGGGATGGTGGTTACGACTTCTCCCAGCTTCAGTTTATACAAGATGGTAGTCTTGCCTGCTGCATCCAAACCTACCATGAGAATCCGCATCTCTTTTTTCCCAAAGAGACTTTTAAACAGCTTTTCAAAAACGTTCCCCATTGTAATGGAATTCTGCAACTCGAAAGAACAGAAAATCAAGTGACATAATTATTTGTTTTTTCTGAGATATAAAAGAATCATACATGAAATGTGCTACAATTAGAGATGGTTCCAAGACAAAAAAAAAAAGTTAAAGCCGGGCGCCGGTGGTTCATGCCTATAATCCTAGCTACTCAGGAGGATGAGATTTGAGGATCACAGTTCAAAGCCAGACTGGGCAGGAAAGGCTATGAGACTCTTATCTCCAATTAACCACCAGAAAACCGGAAGAAGTTCTATGGCTCAAGTGTTAGAGTACTTGGCTTGAGCTGAAGAGCTCAGGGAAAGCACCCAGACCCAGAGTTCAAGCCCTATGACAATTAAAAAAAAAAAAAGTTAAACAATGTTACTTACAGCTTGACCAATAAGGAAAGAGTATGCTTTGGATTCAAAGGAAAAACAACCAAGCCTTTTGATGCTCTGCCAAGAAATTCTATTTTCCACTACAGCATCCAAGAAGGGCAATGGAACATCCTCAAGGCCATGCTATGGTGGTAGCCTTCAGTCATCTTAAATACAGAAACAATGCCACAATACACACACACACACACACACACAGAGTATCATACATACACATGCACACACCTCTCTGAAATTAAGTCATGAATCTTATTTTATACTCTATGAACCAAAGTTCATAAGACAGAGAAACATTCATTATGCCTTCTGCTAGCAGACAATACCAATACCTAGAAAAGAACCCAAGAAATTTTCAGAGTTGAGGTTACAATTAGGTAAAATGTTCAACATTATGCATTATGGTTATTTTGGCTCACCTGGACTGTGATCCTCCCATCTGTGTTTCCTTTTGTGGCTGGCATAGTAGCCACATGCCAGATCATTGTACTTCACTCAGAGCTTGGGATAACAGGTGGGTGACACCACACCCAGCCACTGAGTCTCTGGATCTTTTTACCCTGGCTGGGAGGCCTGAAACTGAGATTCCCCACCCCACCCAAGATTCCCTACCCCACTTAAAGTAGCTAGGATTGCAGGCCAGAGCCACTGTACCTGGCTTGCTTTAAAAAAAAATATATATATATATATATATATATGAAGGGCTCGGACTCAGTCAGGGCCCAGTAGCAAAATGTTCTACCACATAAGCCACAATACCTATCATTTTTGCTTTAGTCATTTTAAAGATAGGGTTTCCTGCTTTTTGCCTAGGCCATCAGCTGACTGCCATCTGCCTCCCTCCTAGCTAGAAGGCCACTACACCCAATTTGTTCTTTGAGATAAGGTCTGGATAGCTTTTTGCCTGGGCTCAAACATTGATACTCCTATCTCTGCCTCTCAAGTAGCTACTATTATCTTTTTTCCTTTTTTACAGATGAATCTATTTTAATTGTGTGCTTGTCACTTGAGTAAAAGACTTCAAAATAGCAACAGATTTACATAGTTAACAATTCTTGGAAGTCTACAAAATTTGTTCAAAAGGGAAGAGACATCCTTGTTCCAGAAACAATGGGGTTTTTTTTCCTTCTAAACTGCTAACCAAAAAGAGGATGTAACAAGGTCAGCCAAACTCCCATTCAACCAGGTCCTAGTGATCTCAGAAGGGAGATTCCCCCCCACCCCCCAGTTCCAGAGGCCTTACAGAATTTCTGCACGCAAATAAAGGATCAGATGATCAAAGAATAATGGCTGCATTAATTATTCGTACAAGACTCATAGGTTTAAAACAGCCCAGTGCAATGAAGCATTCAAAATCTTGTTAGGTGATAACACTTGGGATACCTTTGTTGGGGTGAGAGGGGTGTGTGTGGAGACAAGTGTCACAGTGGAGGAAACCAGACATAGGGAGCAGGAAGGTATGTCTGGCTTCCAAGACCCTAAAAGCAGGTGGCGCTGTGTTCCTCCGGCCTCTCTCTTCCCCTTTCCTCGTCTTCCTCTCCCAGTGAGCGAGGTCCAAGGTTCAGATCTAAGGGAGACTCTCCGGACTAAGACGTAGCCAATCCAGGGGCTGCTGGCCATGCTTACCTTCCCCGGCCCCAATTACCCAATGTCCATGGGGGAAAAACCACGGCGAGTCCTTAAAGATACCGACTTAGAGAAGCCGCGTGGCCAAGCAGACCATGCACGGCGGGCGGGCCGCAGGGTGCTTTCGGCCCCAGCCGCCAGGCCGCTCCCTCTCAGCCTGCCGAGGGTCACGCGGCTAAGCCGACCCGGCCCCTCTCGTTTCCCGGTTGCCGGGTCCTACAGAGGGCGGGGAGGCGACAGTGAAGCCCAACCCCTTTCCACAGGCCACCATAAGTCTCCAGTTCTCCGTCCACTGACGGGTCGGAAATCGAGCCAGCCTTTGAAGGCCGCTGTTCCGTCCCTCCAGCCCGCTACTCACCTGTCACCCCTCGGAACGCTGAGACACACTGCTCAGACCACCCCTACAGACTCCGCGGCCTTTAGAATTTAGGCTCCTCTGAGTAAAATGGCGACCTGCAGGGGGCGGGAACAGCAACCAACCAATCGCTCACTGGCCTTAGGAGTCTTTGTACCAATGATCACAAAGTTCCCTGAGTGACGACACATCTAGCCAATGCGATAGACAATAAGGACTGGAGAGGACGCGGGCCCGCCCCCCGCGACCTAGGCGACGGCACCAAGCTCTGGAAATGCCGGGTTCATCTTCCAATGAGAGCTCAGTGTGCCCCCTCGTGAGCCCTGCCCACGTGCCCCAGACTGGTGCCACGTGAGACCAATCCGAACAGCAAAAGTATTTCCGATTGCACAGCCAATCAACTGGGGAAAAGCTCAAGGATTGAACGAACCCCGGGAGCATTCAGACCAATCGGGTCCGGGGATGTGGGCGGGGTCAGATTCATAGTGATATTTAAGGAAATTTGCCCGGGTTGAGCTAAAAGTAGAAAGTAGTCTGAGGCAATGTTCGAGGTAGGAAGTATCTAGACACCAGCACCGAAACTAGCATGAGGAAGACTTCCTATTTAGTCAGAAACTAGACTACTGCCCTTCCTGTAAATAGATTTTCAAACTGTTGGGAGAAATCCAGACACCCACACCTTCTAGGCTTTACCTAGAGTCCATAGTCTTCACTTCTTGAAAAATACTTTTCTCAGTCCCTTAAATGCCAATTTGCTTATAATTAAAAAGGTTAGTCAGACGCTGCCTGTAGATGACACCTTCAATCCTACTACTAAGGAGGCTGAAATATGAGAAAAGCTAGCATGGGCAGGAAAGTCTGAAACTTTTTTTTTTTTTTTGGTCGGTCGTGGGGCTTGAACTCTGGGCCTGGGCGCTGTCCCTCAGCTCTTCAGCTCAAGGCTAGTGCTCTACCACTTAAGCTACAGCACCACTTCCGATTTTCTGAGTGGTTTATTGGAGAAAAGAGTCTCACGGCCTTTCCTGCCCCGGCTGGCCTTGAACTGCGATCCTCAGATCTCAGCCTCCTGAGTAGCTAGGATTACAGGCGTGAGCCACCAGCGCCCAGCCAAGTCTGAGACTATTATCTCCAACTAACCACCCAAAAGCCAGAAATGGGGCTGTGGTTCAAATGGTAGAGTGCCAGCCTTAAGCAAATAAAAGCTAAGCTACAGCACCCAGGCCCTGAGTTCAAGTCCTAGAACTGGCACATACATGTGCAAATGCACACACACACACACACATACACACACACACAAATCACTACATGTATAAAGTCATTTTTTAAAAAAACACCACCAGCATACCCCTATGTAAGGGGTAGGGGGAGGCAAAAGAGGAGAAAGAAATAATCATCTGAAGGTAATGCACCATTATTTTGACTTATTTCTCTGTGACCATATTACTATGCAAGTTTTACATAGTTCAGATTGTGAATGTACACAATGTTGTCTTTTTCTGGTTAATAATCATTTTCCACATTACCTAACATTTTCTTAAACATAATTTTGATAACTAGGGCAAGAGGCTCCTATCCTAGTTCTGCAAATGCCCAGTTCATCTTCCAAAGCAAACTTATAATGGAATTCTATGCATTACAATAAAATGTGTAAATGTAGTTTAATTTACTTAATAACTTTCATATCAATAATGATGGAGATTTATTCCTTCAGTTGTGACAACCTAAATAAGTGTTTTTCCAAGATTTCTATGGGGCCTAGAAATAAAACAAAGTCCTTATCCATATGGTATTAAATTGTTTAACCAATATGATTATATGAATGCAGACATTTTCCATGCCATATTGTTTTCTTTTTCTTTATTTTGCAGTGTTGAGGATCAAACCCAGGGCCTTGCTCATGCTTATGTTAGGCAGGCACTCTACCACCACAGAGCTATGTTATATATGTACATTATACATATGCATATATAGTGTGTGTGTTAATCAGCTTTCCATCACTATAACAAAATATCTAAGATAACCAACTTCAAAAGAGGAAAGTTTTTTTTTATTTTGGTCGGTCTTGGGGCTTGAACTCTGGGCTTGGGCGCTGTCCGTGTGCTCTTCAGCTCAAGGCAAGCACTCTACCACTTGAGCCACAGCACCACTTCTGGTTTTCTTGTGGTTTATTGAAGATAAGAGTCTCATGGAGTTCCCTGCCCAGGCTGGCTTTGAACCGTGATCCTCAGATCTCAGCCTCCTGAGAAACTAGGATTACAGGTGTTAGCCTGGCTTTAAGAGGAAAGTCTTGAAGGATTCAGTGCATGATTGATTAGCACATGTCCCTGTGCTGGTACAGTGATCATGATGGGAATGTATAATGGAGGAATTCTATTCATTTCATGGTTGGGAGAAGACACACAGGCGCGCGCGTGCACACACACACACACACACACAATCTCCTTTATGAGCATAGCCACAATGACTTTAGACCTCCCATAGGCCCTATGTCTTAAGGGATGTACTGGCTCTCAAGAGCACCTTGGGCTGAGGCCATGCCTTTAACACTTGGACCACTGCAGGAATATTCTAGATCCAAAGTATAGAAATATTGTGTATATTTTAATAATAATAGTATGCATGAAGGATGAAATATAGGAAAAATAGATCTCATTTACTAGTGCTTATATTCAAAAAGAAGGATTGTAATTTTTTAAAAGTGATTGAGACTAGGTGCCAGTGGCTCACACCTATAATTCTAGCTAATCAAGAGGTTGAGATCAATAGAAAGCCCACAGATTGGGAGAAGCTTTTCACTAGCCATACAACAGACAAGAGCCTCCTATCTAAAATATACTTAGAACTCAAAAAAATTCAATCCCCCAAAAACAAATCCTCAAAGAAACAACTGCCTCATTGAAAAGTAAGCTAAAGTCTTTTTGTTTTTTTGGGTCCAGTCATGGGGCCTGAACTCTGGGCTTGGGCACTGTCCCTCACTCTTCAGCTCAAGACTAGTGCTCTACCACTTGAGCCACAGCACCACTTCCAGCTTTTTTCTTTTTGCTTATGTGGTGCTGAGGAATTGAACCCAGGGCCTCAGGAATGCAAGGCAAGCGCTCTACCACTGAGCCACCTTCCCAGCCCATAAGCCAAAGTCTTAAAGAGAGACTTCTCTGAAGAGGAAATAAGAATGGCCAATAGACACATGAAGAAATGCAAATCAAAACACTGAGATTCCACCTCATCCCAGTTAGAATGGCAATAATCAAAAAATAACAACAGATGCTGGAGGAGATGATGCCAAAAGGGAACACTACTGTATTGTTGGTGGGAGTGTAAACTTGTTCAACCACTCTGGAAAGCAGTATGGAGATTCCTCAAAAAACTAAACATAGAGAACCCCTATGACCCAGCAATCCCACTTCTGGGCATTTACCCAAATGACCACAAACAAGGCCATTCTAAAGCTACCTGCACAGCTATGTTTATTGCAGCATTATTCACTATAGCTAAGATATGGAACCAACCCAGATGCCCCTCAGTAGATGAATGGATCATGAAAAGGTAGTTTTTATATTCAATGGAATTCTATGCTTCCATCAGAAAGAATGACACTGCCCCTTTTGTAAGGATGGAAATACTTGGAAAAAATCTTATTAAGTGAAGTAAGCCAGACCCAAAGAAACATAGGTCCCATGGTTTCTCTTATTTGCAAAATTAGTACAGGATAGTCTAGGATAATCTTAGCAGATGAGCGGAATAGCACAATAGCTATGTACTTATAACCATATAAGATGATGCTAAGCGAAATGAACTTCAAGAAGCGGAAACAAGTTTTTCTTTTTGTTCTTGTTTTTAATATACTAAGTGATTTCTTGTTTCTTTCGTGTGTTCTTTCCCCTATGATTTATCCCCTATTGCCACTGTATTTAATTTTGGTACCCTGGCATTATATATGTGTGTGTGTGTGTGTGTGTGTGTGTGTGTGTGTGTTTATCTGAATTAGGGAAGGGAAGGGGATCAACAGAATGTTGAGACAAAGAACAAGGGGGGAACTGTAGGGCACATGGGCAGCAAAGATGGCACTGAGAGGGAGTTGAGTGGGCAGAGCCCAATTTACGTTCAGTGTGTAACCGGCCTGTGGAAGCTTAGGTGCATGATAGGATGTGACCTTAACAGTGACTGGTTCCTCTTCCTCCCCTCCCATGCCACCCGCTCTTTTTTTGCTTTAAAAAGGGCTTGCTCTGTGTTAATAAACGAGTTTTCCTGCTTGAGTTGACTCCCTGCTGCGTCTGATTGTCTCCCGGGCTAAGGGAGGCTGGGGAACAGGTGAGCAGCCGCATTTACCTCTCCTCGGACCCCCGTCCATCTTTCGTGGGATGGACGAAGACCCGACAGGGAACCAATGCAACAGAGATACTCACTAGACAATATGTTGGAAATGATCTGCACAACTTGTGGGGGACTGGGGAAAGGGAAAATAAAGAAAAATGAGGAAGGGGTAACAAGTTCAACAAGAAATATACTTTTTACCTCACTTATGTAACTGTAACCTTTCTGTACATCACCTCAATGGAAAAAAAAATGATGCCATTAAAAAAAAAAGAGGTTGAGATCTGGGGATTAAGGTACAAAACCAATCTGGACAGAAAATCCTTGAGACCTTATCTCCAATTAACCAGAAAAAAAAAAGGCAACAGAAATGAAGATGTGGCTCAAGTGATATAAGGCCAGCCTCGAGTGAAACACTAAGCAAGGGTTTGAGCCAGGTGCTGGTGGCTTGAATCCTAGCGACTCAGGAGGCTGAGATTTGAAGACTTCCTTCAGTTTGAAGCCAGCCCAGACAGGGAAGTCTGTGAAATTTGTATCTCCAATTAACCACCAAAAAAAAAAAAAAAATCAGAAGTGGAGCTGTGGCTCTAATGGGTAGAGCAAGAGGCTTGAATGAAAAAGCTAAGGGGAATAACACAGGCTCTGAGTTCAAGCCTCAATATTGGTATGCACATACAAAAACCATTTGGTTGCTATGGAGCTACTAGGATTAGGTATAGAGTACTAATGAATATTTGGAAGTCAGGATCTGCTATGGTCTGCTGGATCTCTACAGATCTG